TTTGAAAATTGCAAGAAAAAAAAATCAGTACATTTTGTTATGTTTATGAAATGCAGACTGGGTTAATGATCTAATTTGGCTAATAGAGCAATCTCTAAACCATAATCTTCTACCCTCAGCATTTTAACACCCTCGGGGAAGTTTGCTTTTGAATTAACACAGGCAATGGTTCACTTTACAATGAAGGTCTTTAACCAATTTTCTTCTACTCTTGGCCCCTAGCTTTTCTCATTTTTTTTCTTTTGTTTCATCAAACTATTTTTCAAACTATTCTCTCCACTTTTCAAAGAATATAAAACTCAATTCATTGTTTCCATTCTTATTTCCTCTATATAACTGCGAGTTTAAAACTTTATTCCCTTCTTTGCATTTCTCATCTCTTCTATATCATATTTTTTTTATTTTTCTCTTTTCTAACCAAAGTGTATGTTTATAAATGATTCATAATATATTCATAAGGCTTTGATCAGTAGGAAACGTGAGCAAATACATGTTAATATATAATGAGAGCCATGGAGAGGTTGGTCTACTTTCAAAGAATGAATTTCTCATGAAGTGAAGCTTCAATTCCCTTCTGGGAATGATAGTCCTCGAATTATTATTATTTTTTTTATAAAGTAAAAATAACTAAACTCATGAGATCGATGCTTTAAAAAGGAGTAAAATGAAGCGCATAAAGAAGATTTTGCGCTAAAGCGTTTCTTATAATAAAGTTTCTTGAATGTGGCAAACTCTCCTTCAACCCTATGGTTATTAGGTGTCTGGCTGGAGGCAACGGAATTATTAAAGCTCCGGTTTCAGTGACGTATGAGATCGTAACAATGGCCAGAATGCCATTAAAGTCACCGGCTTTCCAAAATTGCAATTTTCTTTTGACAGTGTTACCTTCTCATTAAACCAAAGAACCTTTCAAAAATATTCTGAATAATCAACGCATTGGACATTTTTTATTATAATTGAGTTTCTTAGTTCATAAATATGTTTTTTTATACGTACGGAAAAAATCATTTACCGATTGTTAATTCTGTACATTTTAAATTTTAATTTTAGGACCTAATTTCAGGATTTTATTTTAGGACCGAATTCTTAAGTGTTTTAACTATAAGATTGTTCTAGTTACGAGAGGACCCAACTAAAGAATAATCCATAAAATATTTGCCCTGAGCCATCCGAAAAATGGTTCAAGTTTAAAATTTTATTACTCAAATTTGTTCTTATTTTTTTTATGGGTTTGATTAATTTCAATTGAATTTATGTTAAAAATAGCTTACTCTTTAGCATAAAGCAAGTACATTAACAATATTCATCACAAGCATTCAATTATTTTCTAAATTAATAAAATTCTTCGCAAAAATTTAATTATTTTCAAAAAATCTAAAAAAAATTGTAAACATTTCAATTATCTTTAAAAATGAATATTAAAATTCATAGAAAAAATTTAATTATTTTCAGGATTTTGAATAAAATTCATTGCAAAATCCAATTATTTTCATAAATAATAGTATTCATCACAAGAATTGAATAATTATTTTCAAAAGTAATAAAATTCAATTATTTCCAAAAATTTTAATAAAATTCATGGCAAAATTTTCCAAAATTTTCCTTAATTCAATGATTTTTAATCTTCTACTATTTTAATAAAATTTCTCATAAGAATTCAATTTAATTTAATTAAAAACAATTTTTACAAAATTCTACACGAATATTCAATTATTTTTTAAAATATAATAATGAAATTCTCACTGGAATTGAATTATTTATCATAGAATTTACATACATTTTTTCGAAAAAAGACAATTGCTTAAAAATTATTTATAAAATTCTCCGCAATGATTCAATTACTTTCATAAATAATAAAATTCATTGCAGAATTTTAATTATTTTCAATGCAATTTTAATCAAATTACTCGAAAAATGTAATATTTTTCGACGAATTTAAATAAAAAAAATTTTAATTAAATTAATTAAATTAATTGAGGAGCTGGATCGAAGAACCGGCTCTTCGCTCGAACTCACGCAGAAGATAGTCCCTTTGTCAGTTATGTCATGAAAATTTAAAACTCAAAAAAAAAAAAATTTTTAAATTATGACGTTGTAGAGGAGAAAAAAATACATCTTTTTTCTATTTACAATTTTTTTCTAGAATGCAAGTTATTAATACTAAAAAATAAAAACTAAAAAATTTTTTTCTGAAAAATTAATTACCTTTTGATAAATATATCGTCATTTCTCAGTCAAATATTAATGAAATGAACCGATTTTTTTTAGGCTTGCACAATATACCTTACCGAAGCCCACAGGCCAAAGTAAAGTCCAAAAAAACAAATTGTTTATTAATTATTAATTTTGAAAGATGTTATTTACAACAACAGGAATTTCAATTTTCAACGAGAAAAAGTATGCGACGAAATTTCACATTATGAAAACTTCTCGCGAGAAAGTTTTTCCTTTATTATTCAGGAAGTTTTTCCAAAAAGAATTAAACCGATTCGATGAGAAATAAAGAAAATAAAAGAAAAATAGCGAAACAGTATTTTCGTTCGCAGCGAAAACCCTGTTCGGCAGCCATGTTTATCATATGACTCGTAGCTTACGCACGCTCACACACTCACGCTGCTGTGTAAAATATAAATGTGTGCGTGCGTACGTTACAAGTCATATGACAAACATGGCTGCCGAACAGGGTTTTCGCTGCGAACGAAAATACTGTTTCGCTATTTTTCTTTTATTTTCTTTATTTCTCATCGAATCGGTTTAATTCTTTTTGGAAAAACTTCCTGAATAATAAAGGAAAAACTTTCTCGCGAGAAGTTTTCATAATGTGAAATTTCGTCGCATACTTTTTCTCGTTGAAAATTGAAATTCCTGTTGTTGTAAATAACATCTTTCAAAATTAATAATTAATAAACAATTTGTTTTTTTGGACTTTACTTTGGTCTGTGGGCTTCGGTAAGGTATATTGTGCAAGCCTAAAAAAAATCGGTTCATTTCATTAATATTTGACTGAGAAATGACGATATATTTATCAAAAGGTAATTAATTTTTCAGAAAAAAATTTTTTAGTTTTTATTTTTTAGTATTAATAACTTGCATTCTAGAAAAAAATTGTAAATAGAAAAAAGATGTATTTTTTTCTCCTCTACAACGTCATAATTTTTAAATATTTTTTTTTTGAGTTTTAAATTTTCATGACATAACTGACGAAGGGACTATCTTCTGCGTGAGTTCGAGCGAAGAGCCGGTTCTTCGATCCAGCTCCTCAATTTAGTTATTTTAATTTAATTAATTTTAATTTTAAATTAATTTTTAAATTCTTAAAAATTTTATTAAAATTTGTCGAAAGAATTCAATTATTTAAAAATTAATTGATAAAATAAAATGTTATTCTTTATGAGAATTCAATTTTAAGAAACATTCAATTATTCAGTTAAAATTTTTGATAATAATTAAATTTCGGAGAAGTTACTAATAAGTGCAATTTTTAGAAATAATTAAATTTTGTAAAGGTTTCAAATTAAAATCTTTAAAAATTTGAATTTCTCATGCTTTAAATTAAAAATTTTATGGAACTATTTTTTTAAACAGCTCCATTGGAATTTTTTAAAATTATTGCAAGATTTTTATTTTCTAATGTATATTTAATTGGAAAATTTCTGAATTATCGAAATTTCACGAAAAATTGAATTGTACACAAATTTTAATTTTTAGATAGAATTAGGATTAATTAAAAATTAATAAAATTAATAATAATTTAATAATAAAATAAAAAGATCATTTTTAGAGTGAATCAGAATATTCTTCAGGGTCAGAGAAAAAAGTCAAAATTTTGTCTGTAAATCAGGGAAAAACAAAATTAAATGTTTGTGGCAACTCTGTAGAAAGTTTAAATGACTCTTTTTTATAATTAAGAAATACATGAATTTTCATAAATTAGATTAATAAATATAAATTAAGTTTCAGAATTTTAATTCTTTGTAGTCTTCTAAGTTCAAATCTAAACATAACATAATAATGCGGCCAGTTAGCTTTTAGTTATTAATTTAAGTACAGTCTTTAGTTATTTTAGTATTTTGTACGAAAGGGTTTTACCCGTCAACTTCTTGAATAAATAAATAAATAAATAACGTACAAAGCTAAAATTAAAAAAAAATAATATGATAAAAAAGGTTTATAAAGTATTTAATAGATCAACTTTGCAACTCTACTTAATGTCATAAAAAAATTTGAAAATGGCCTTTAGTGTTATTTGTCACTAGGATTTTTGAAACTCCACCCTAACAGCATCCGGATATTCAGGATATCCTATGGAGGTCCTAAGGATATCAGGAAATTATGATACCCATAGAATGTTCCAGAGGCATCCTGAGATATTTTAATGACATCTTAAAAAATATCCTAAATTCTGGATATGATTAGGAAGTTCCTAGAATATCTTAAAATATCCATTGCTGTTAGGGCAGCGAATCGTTTATTATTCATCATCTAGCATGAGGAAATTTAGTAAAATTTCCAAAATTTCTCTTCACTTTCAATCGTTTGTTGAAGTGGGTAAAAATCTATCGATGTCCACAAGTTGTATAATACTTGCTGTTAGGGCATCAAATCGTATATTATTCATCATCTAGCATGAGGAAATTTAGTAAAATTTCCAAAATTTCTCTTCACTTTCAATCGTTTGTTGAAGTGGGTAAAAATCCATCGATGTCCACAAATTGAATAATACTCACGTGAGAAGATTCCTTTGTCCTTTGACTCCACAGACCGCTGTATTCTGAAACAAAAAATTAAAATTTGATCAACCATTTAAAAAAATTAATATTACCTATTACGCTTTCTTTATTTTTTTGGAATTCCACGGGAAATTAATTTCTTACGCAACAAAATGACTATATTCTCTACTATTTTTATGAAGCTGAAATTTTCACCCAGCTATCATTTTTATTGTTTTTTAATAAAAAAGTGAATAGTTTTTAATGTAATTGAAATTGAAAATGTTACAGATTCGTGAGTGGCTCAAGGCGAGAATTGACAGGTGTGAAGGAAATTGTTACCTCGAGGAGAGTTCAAAAGAGGCCAACTGCGGGAATTAGATCTGATGAAGGATCTGGACATCAGAGTGGTTTGCTAGGAGGTTGCAGTGGAGGAAGTGACGCCCTGGCGGAACTCACTATCGAGGACCTGGCCTCTATTCCAGCCAGCAATCATACCAGCGCTAATCACACTGGACACTCCTCTCACCACAAGGTACTGCACTTTTCATTATCAAAAACTTTTTATACACGAAGAGAGTGTCTGGTCTAGTAGGGCACTAAACTGTTCTCTAACCACAAGATAATTTTTAAAATTAGCCGAGAGTATATGAAATACCAAAGATTTTATAAAATACCAAACGATATAAGATGGCAAAGATTTTATATATTATACGAAACAATATAATAGTTTTAAGTAAAATGTTCTCTTATTTGATTCAAACTTATATTCTTATCAGCAAGTGGTCCATAAATGGTCTAGAGTAATTTTTACTATTTGGCCCATAAAATCCACAGTTGGGAATTACTTGCAAGCAGAGCAATTTCTAACAAATTATCAAAACAAATTGGCTCTAATCCTCAACCGTTAATTTACGTTCTTCGATAAAGTTTCGTGTGTAATTAATAGGGAAAGTTCACGATCCTTTTTTTTATCGTTGATTAATCTCTGGGATTAACTAAACAGATGCAGTGCAATCATGTGCAGGAAACAAATACCTATATGGCTGATAGACACAAGCTCAGTGCGCTCGTCGCATCAGCGAGTAACGACCCTTGAAAGTTCGCTCCGATAGTTGGGTACATTTTATGCTTGTTGATAAAGTCTCGATAAATTATAACGGTAATTAAACCCGTTCAAACGTTCGCTCGACACGCAATTGGTGTGCAGATGTTGACAATTATACTATTTTGGATCAAAAAAAAAAAAAACGTGTAGCTGTAGTGCAAAATCAAAATAAGTCACGTGTCAGCTGCGTTAAATGGCAACTGTCGACAGTATGTATTCTCTTTTCATTTCCCACACGAGAGGGATGGTGAGAAGGGAGTTTATAATTGTACCAGGTGCCATTGGTCAGATATAGTCTCTTTTAATCAAAGCCGAGTGTGTCGATTCAGCTTCTCTTTGAAATCGATACTTTTCTATTGAACTGGACCAATCCATTAAAATTTTCCTTTCAGTCCTCCACGAGTCCTTTCACTTCAATTGATTGTCATTCACTTTGTGACTTCTGCACCTGATCTCACAGTTTATTAAATATTTCATATTTTTTTTGGGGGGATGTATAAAATTTTATCTTCTCGTTTCGTCCTATTTTCTCTTAATTTATTTTTTCAAATACAAAAACTAACAATTTATTGAATAATTTAAAAAAATTGAATTGAATTGAATTAAATGAAGAATTTCATCAATAAATTTTTAAATAATTGAATTCTTTAGACGAATTTTAATTCAATTAAACTTTTTCAACAAAATTAATTCTACAGAACTGTTAGTTATGAAAACTTCAAATTTTCAAAGATTTTAATTTGGAATTTTTTCAAAATTCAATTCTTTCCAAAAATACACGCTATAATGCTTTTAATATTCAATTATTATCTAAAATTTTAAATGAAATTCACTTTTAACTCAATTTTCATTAGAATATTCTACGAGAATTCAATTATTTAAATAGAAAAATAAAAAATTTATAAAATAATTGAATCTTTCTTAAAATTGAATTCACATAAAGAACTTTATCAACAAAGTTTAAAATAATTTAAAAATAATTAAATAATTAAAAAATTTTCGAAAAATAATAAAATAATAATAATTAATAATAATAATATTAATAGTAATAATTCGAAAAATTAAAATTGTATAATAATTGAAATTTTGAAGAGAATTTAAAAAAATTTTGAACATAATTGAATTTCTGCGAAGAGTTTTATGTATTACTTTGGAAAATAATTAAATTTTTGGAATCACTTGTAACTTTTCCAAAATTCAATTTTCTTTTATTGCTTTTAAAACTAAAATTCTTCTAAAAATCCATTATTTTTAATAATTAAATAATTAATAGGTAATAAAATAAAAAATATGTATTAAAAAAAATTAACCAATTTCAAAAAATTATACTTAATTAAAATTTTTCAAAAAAATTAGTTCTACAGAATTTTTAATTAAAAAGTATGAAAAAATCTGATTTGCAAATATTTAATTTTAAACCTTTTTTAAATTCAATTATTTTTTAAAATTTACTTTAGAATGCTTTTAATATTCAATTATTTGCTGAAATTTGAACTAAAATTCCTTTTTAAATCCATTTTTATTAAAAAATTCAACGAGAATTCAATTATTTAAATACAAAAAAACCGCTGCCAAGTTGTACATTTTTATAATTTTGGTGTTCATTTCATGAACACTTTGCTTCCTCATAAAAATAATAATAATTGAAATATAAGAATTACTTTTTATAAAAGGGTTAAAAATCATTAAATCTTGGTCCAAAAAATGTGTTTTTATATATTCTATAAGATAATAATAATAGTTTAATAATTACTCATAAGTTAATAAACAAGAATGTTGAAAAAATGATATTTTCCACAATTCTTGATTTTTCAACTACCAATAATTTCATAATTTCTGCCCGAATCAGGTTAAAAAATAGGTCAATCGAAGCGTTTTTTAATGCTCTTCAAGTTGGTAATAATTTTTTGAAGTTACTTTTACATCATTTAAAAAAATTTTTATAAAAGACTTATTTTTCAAAATTTTAGATTTTTAAAAGTTTAATATCTTTGGTTAATATGGACGAAAAATGTTCAATTGGGGCTCAAAAGATGCGTCTGAAAAAACTCTACAAAACTAAATACAAAACAAAACTAAACTTCTACATTTTTCAACAAAATTTTCAAAAAAGTCTTATTTTCTAAAATTTTTGATTTTTTAAAGTTTAATATTTCCGGTTAATATGAACGAAAAATATTCAATTAGGGCTCAAAAGATGCGCGTGAAAAAACTCTACAAAACTAAAGAAAAACATTTATAAGTGTCCTAACATTTTTTTAAGTTACGTCCAAAAAACGTTTTTTTACAAAATGAAAAATGCAAAAAAAAAATAGTTAAACTTCATGAATCGGGCTGAAAATACTCTCATTTTATGTCCCCCGGGGAGACCTACAATTTAAAAAAAAATTGAGGCCTTTAGCTCTTTCTCGTTCTGAGATATTGAGGCAAATGTAATGTTAGTACACACACACACACACATCGGGACAAATTTTTAAAATCCGTTTTTTGGACTTCGGAGTTCAAAATACGTCGAAATTTTTTTTAATTTATTTAGAACATTTATACGGGGAGTTCCTGTGCATATATAAAGTACTAAAGTATTAGGCATAATAAAAAAAAATTTATAAATATGTCAAAAAATGACAATCCAAAATTTTGCTAATACAAAGCTTCCTTTATGAGGAAGCAATAAATAATTTAGGGAATAATATTGAATGTTTCTTAAAATTGAATTCTCATAAAGAATCGAATTTTATTTTATTAATTAATTTTTAAATAATTTAATTCTTTCGTCAAATTTTAATAACATTTTTAAGAATTTAAAAATTTTAATTTTAATTTAATTTTTTTTATTAAAATTCGTCGAAAAATGCAATTACATTTTTCGATGAATCTTATTAATAGTGCATTAAAAATAATTGAAATTCTACTATGAGTTTCATTATTTATAAAAGTAATTGAATTGCTAAAAAGAATTTAATTAAAATTTGATTTTATTAAAATATTAGATATTGAAAATCATTGAATTGAGGAAAATTTTTGAAAATAATTGAATCCTAGAGAAGAATTTTATTATTTATAAAGTTAATTGAAAACTTTTACGAGAATTTTAAAAAATTTTTGTACATAATTGAATTTTTGTGAAGAATCTTCTTATTTATAAAGTTAATTGAAACTTTTTACAAGAATTTAAAAAAATTTTTGTACATAATTGAATTTCTGTGAAGAATTTTATTATTTATAAAGTTAATTGAAACTTTTTACAAGAATTTAAAAAAATTTTTGTACATAATTGAATTTCTGCAAAGAACTGTTTTACTTTTGAAAATAATTGAATTTCTGCAATCATTTACAAAAATGAAAATAATAAAATTCTTTCGACAAATTGTAATAAAATTTTTAAGAATAATCACAATTTTTCGAGGAATTCGTTAAAATTGTATTAAAAATAATTGAAATTATGTTTTTTTAAACAAATTTCAGACTTTACGGATGTTTTTTCAAAAAACTGACTTTTACAGACTTTAATCAAATTTCAATCGAAAGTTCGTGCCCTGTTAGTGTTAAAGTCAAATTAATAATAAATTATAAAAATGTTTTTTTAAATTGTTAATTGACTACCTCAAAAATGTAATTTTATAATTAACGCGTCCTACGAACAATGATTTGTTCCAGTGTTTGAATCCACAAAAAGATCCCATTTTGCAAGAATTTTTATTTAAAGTTGATCCAATCTCACCATTCGACATTTTGATTAAAAACATTTACAACAGCCCTTGATTTTTAAGTTTCAATAAAATTTTCTGCTTTTATTTTTACAGAAATGTTGTCCTCTTCTCCTTTTAATTTCAAGTGATCAAAATGAAATCTTGATTGGATTTTGGAAAAATTCCTGACTTTGTTTATTTGTATCCAACTTTGATGGATGTTTAATTAAAATTCGGTTTTACAAACAAGTACAAACAGAAAAAAAAGTTCGATGCCAAACAGAAATGTTTGGTTTGGTTTATTGTCATTATTAAAAATTCTGTACGAACTCTGTTAATTCTGTTAATGCGGCATTCATTATAGTGAATTATGTATACATGCGCTTCTGTATTGATTTAACATTTTGAAAGGGAATGTCTTTTTTTTTGAGGGATGACTTTTTTTGTTTTTACATTTATATTTTTTTCCTCTTGATATTTCGTGTGTATGGGGTTCTCTCTCATTGGTAAGCCTTGAAACTTAACAGATACTGTTCCTTTTCAACGCAGAGCAGAGCACACGTATAAAAATCCACATATACAAAGTTTTGTTTAAGGGGTTCCTTTCTTCATTCCTTTCCTCGTGTTCATTCTCTCTGCATTTCAATATACCCTCTTCAGGCCTGATGGTCTCTCCTAATTTTCTTCCCTTTTGTTTTCAGAGAAATAATACGACCTCCAGATTGCGTCTGCTGCCAG